AACTTTAGCAATAGACCAATACCAAACCGTACAATAAACTCTATACAATAAAACTCAATGCAACGCCGAGTACGGTACAAAGCATTGTCCCTGGGGTATATGGGCGATGCTGAATTCTTCAGTAGTTCTTTCTCGTGGAAAAAAATCATTAATCAGCATTAGTGTACGTTCGCAAGTTACTGACCACAACTGTGCCGTTTACAATAATGAACACTATAACTCGTGCGATTCTCTATACCACATGTAGACGCCAATTTGACAACAACCCCCCATTATTCGTATTGTTGTCAATCTTTTCTTGTTTATGCCTAGGCAACATATTTGAGGGAAATTAAAACAACTATTTAATCAAGTGAAAAAAAAATCAACCATTTATTACACACAATTAATGTTGTGCAACAGACCATACAATTATTGTTGGTAAGCACTAATTAAGGAGAAGTAGGAGATTGGCACTATCTCTTCATATGTACGATGGCGACACAAGCAGCTGACTGCACTGCAGGTAGGTTTTGTTTTCTTTGAAAATCTAAATGCTATATTAACTAAATGTTCAGAGTCGTGAATGGGTGGGACGTCGCTGGCCACCTTGGCATTATCGTAAAGTTATTGGCCTTATTTTTGTCACCTTCGTCATACCGAAAGTAAAGCGCTATTCTGTAGGCTGGTTTAAAGCAAGGTGGTCGTAGCGCAGCGCGTGTTCGAATTTCATGTAAATAAACAATGTATTTTACACGCGTTGTATACGTCGCTATGAGTCCCATATCGAACAGGACGCGGCCGGACGACTGTCGCCATTTAAATATCCATTTTGGGACAAATTTGGAATAATACGTAATTCAAGATATCGACCATACTTAAAATTTATAGCAATTTCAATTCAACACCTAATAAGATAGTGAAGCTAAAATACTGTTCAGGGATAACGAGGATGCTAAAAATATTGAGGGTTGTTTTATCGCCGATGTGTACCCATGCGTAATTGCAACTTACGTGACGCTATTCAGGCGATTAGTAAATTGTCTCGATTATATTGCGGGAAAAGTTGGATTAGTGGTGAGCAGTCGACGGCGAACAAAATTGTGCTCAGATAGCAAGGACTCCTTATCTGGTATGTATGTATTTGGGTAAATTTCTGCTGACTTGCAATTGAATTGAATTCTCAAAAATGTTGCTTAGCATTTACATTACGGTAACCCCTAACAGTAAAGCAGTAACCAGGCAACCATGTAGTAACTACGCAACCATTTTTTTTCCGGCCCTATGTTATTAAAAACTATCATCAATGGACGAGAACAATAATATTAATAACTACGTAATTGTGCAATTATTTGACACATGTCTTAAAAAAATAGCTAAGGAAAACAAGTCCAACACTAATAACTACGTAACCATGCAATTATTCGACCTATGTTATTAAAATATAGCTTACAAATGATCTTTTTCCATGGATCCCTGGCCTTGAACGCGTCAGTTTACGCTCAGTCAGGCGCATGCGTGTCAGTTGACATTGCTCCACTCTAGTGTATTGCCTTGGAATATAACTATGATAATTAAGGTAGAGATGCAGATTCGTGGGCACTTGGGAGTGATTTTTTTTTTTTTTTTTGCTTTTTATTATCCAAACAGTCTAGCTATATAGACTGTTCAAATTTTGTAGAATTGTGAATAGTGGAACATACTCAAAAACGATTTTAAAATGTAGATAACAGGTGCAAACAATCTCTCTTTTGAATGCTTGGCAAGATTTAGCAAGGCTGTACATAAATAATCAAAAAGAAACATGGTGAAAACAAAGAAATGTCGGGATATTATGCACTGTATTTAACTTTTAACAAAACGATAATACATTTAAATTTAAAACTGTAACAGCCATTTTAATTATGAGCATTAGCAAACTTCTTACTGAGTGAATTGGTATGCAAATTAGCAATTATCTTAGCTTCTTTTTAGTGCACATCCCAGAACTTAAAAAAAATAGCTCTTAGACGCTTTGACCTTTTGTTTTGAAATTGAATGTGTTTATCTTCAAAACGCCGTCGGGACATTGTTTTTGGTTGAACAGTGTTACAACAATCGTACAGACAACTAGCCTGGGTGTTAATTTATGCATAAACTTGAAGTAGTGAAATTTGAGCTGCCGCCCTGTAAAATTGACAACTGGTAGACAGTTTTCAAGACGACACTTTCTTCATAGTAAACAGATGTACCCATAACCCAATTTTGACATGAAACAGAAGCATGGTTTAGAAGCTATTTTTTTTAATCATTTTTGACCAAAAAAGCACATTTTTGTGCATATTTCAAACTACAGTGTCCATAAAAAAAATACTAACAAAATTTTAAAATTCATACAATAAGCTTTCCGAAAATATATAGTTTTGTGGACAAGGGAGGTCATCTTGGTTTCCTAATTAACTAATTAAAATACCTGTCAGTTAAACTGCATCTCTACCTTATACCTGTTTGCGTGTATTGTATTGTTAATACTGTGGAATACTTTATTTTCGCTGGAATTAATTTTC